TTATTATAATTATTTCTAATTTATAATTATTATTATTATTATTATTTTAATTAGAATTTATAATTAATTACAATTTATTCAACTTATTATTATTATAATAATTATAATTATTATTATTATTATTTTAATTATAATTTTTTATAATTATTATTATTATTATTATAATTATTATAAAAAAAAAACTGTCCGTCCGGTTCGGCTGACCAGACGGTTTTTCGGCCGTCCGGAACCGACGACCGGACGGACGGCGGCCGGACGGCCGGCCAGATTAAAAAAAAGATTAAAAATTATTCCGCCGGAAAAAAAAATAAAAAAAATTACCTTGCTAGAGAAGAATGCTTTGTCGAGGCCGTAGGATTTTTTCGATATTTTTTCAGATTTTTTCGATGCTTGAATTGCTCGTTGAAAGTTCGGGAATTTAGAGAGATAGAGTCTGAAAAATGATTAAGGGCAAAAGAATAAAAAGGGGGCCGGTGACTAGTAAAGGGGCGGTAAATAGCAATTGAGAATATATATAATAGCAATTACAAACTAAAACGCAAAAATCTACATTCATTTCGATTCCCAACAATCTGAAACTTGTTTTTTACATGTTCAACTAAAACGCAAAATTCTACATTCGTTACGATTCCCAACAATCTGAAACTTGTTTTTTACATGTTCCACATCATTTCCTAACTTCATTTTCAATTTTGTTGATGGTGTGAGTGAGAATGATGAATGATTTTGTGTTATTGTTTGCATCGTTTCGGTTTCTTGGTGGCTATATTGAAAGAATATCACTTTGGGTTAGTTGTCATTTGAGTTGGCACAGATTATGGGAATTGTTTAAATAAATTCAATATGTAACTACAGTCCTATCTCAAATTTGAAGTATTAAACCATTAACACATCTCAAGTATATTTCTTCTATTTAAAACACGCATCAGATATATTTATTTTAAAACACATATTTCAAATCACAATCCTACTTGTGAATAATTATGAATGACTTGCATTCAATAGTTCTTTGCCCTGTTTTTCTCAATTTTCTATCTCGGACTATTAGCAAAACTGTAAATAATAACGAAAAGATTTTACAATTAAAAAGTATATTTTATCATTGTCTTGTTGCAATTTTTTTTTTTCTTTTTTTCTTCTAACCATTGTAATCATTCTTAATTCCACAATCATTAAGGCAGCTGCAGAGTGTAGTCAACCAAAACAAGAAACCGAAGTACTCACAATGGCAATAAACAAACAAACAAACACGAGCTAAACAAAAGAGTGAAATTTCCATAAAGAATCACACATCAATTAGTTATATCGGACACAATAACACTTTCAGAATGTTCAAAAAAAAAATGTAGAAAAAAAAACATGAAAAGCAAACCCTATACCAGAAAACAATACAAAACCCTATACCATAAATATGCATTCTTGTTTGAAAAAGTGTAACAACAAGGTCCGACTTATCTTAACGATTAGTCCACCTCACACAAGAACTCGCGATAACCCCGAAAACCACTCAACACCCAAAGCAAATTAACCCCAAACCCATATAATAAATTTGAAAACTAAACAAAACACAAATCGTGAAAAACGTTCACAAAATCACTCTCTTCTCAAACGACAACCGTCTCACTAACCTTTTTCAGGCCCGTATTTCTCCTCGTCCTAGCTGGCGATGGCGGGTAAGAAAGCCGTTTTTTAGCCAAACCCTTTTGAGGCGTAACGTCGCTATTACCATTATTATTATTATTACTATTAAAATCGCCATTTTCGATCCCCAATGGACTAGCTAGCCTCAACTTAGCCCTGGCTGACTGAGTTGGCACCATATAACTCGGCAAGTTCTGAGAACTCGCCAGGCTGTCATCGTCCCTAATAGACGAGCCACCACCAATAGTGTGCCTCCTATTAATATTCCTCTCCGATTGCACGCTAAAAGTGCTTTTTGATTCATCATCTTGACTAACCAGGCTTGCAGGCTTGATTTTCTTGGAAGCTATAGAGGCCAATGATTTTGGGGAGAAAGGAGGTTTTTTTAGGCTGATGGGTGAGGATTGATTGAGCTGATGTCGGGCAAAGGAATTTGTGATGTCACCTCCTCCACCGGAGGTTTTGACGTCGTTATCTTTATTGAGGGCATTTTGGGAATTTTCTGCAGTCCAACGTTCTAACCAGCTCCAGCCCCAGTGGGGATTGGTCGGATCCATGAACAGCAAGTTGGTCGTCTTGGATGACTTTTTCCATGTTTGCTGTTTTTCGGATAGGAAAATATGTCATGGTTACGAAGACCCAAAATGGGAGTGATAATTTTTTTTATTTTTTTTTTTGCATGAAGTCAAACATCATTTTTACAATTTCAATACGATAGTGTAGGTGAAAATAGTTTAAAGAACATGAGAACGAGGAAAAAAAATGACTTTATGCTTACGCAGTTTTTGGAGGACAAATTTTGATAAATGGGCACTTGTAAATAGCGATAATTTCCCTCCCCTGATCGTTTTTCTTTTTCCTTTTTGGGTAGTCAGACTTAATAAATAGCTNAAAAAAAAAAAAAAATGACTTTATGCTTATGCAGTTTTTTGAAAGACACATTTTGATAAATGGGCACTTGTAAATAATGAACACTTTTCCTCCCTGATCGTTTTTCTTTTTTCCTTTCAGACTTAATAAATAGTTAGACAAGGAGAAATTTGACAGTCATCCTTCTGAGAGAGCACGACTGAACGATATCGTGTATTAGTGTCGAAAAAAGTATTTGAACTACCTGATGAGTGTATGAATAAGCTAATGCCCTTTCACGCCTCATTGCAGCTTCGTATTTGTGCAGCAAGTTCACCTCAATTTGCTCTTTCGATTGTAGGCTATCATCCCATTCCTCTCCCATCTACAACAACAATATAGCTTCTCAGTCAAACAGCTATGAAAATTTTCTTCAGCTAAATTGCATTATTAGTCTTGTTGGTTTAACGTCAAAGCAATTTTAGTCCCAAGATTCTAACATTTCGCCATTTAATCCAATGAATTATTTTTTGCTGCAATTTCAGTCATTTGCAACAAATTCATAAATTTATAGATTTTTTATTAGCAATTAGAGTCTTATAATTTATAATGTTGTTGCTATTTCAATCCTGTAATTTCAGTCCAAAATATTAAATCACTGGACCAAAAGGAGAAAATTTATAACCTTGGGACAACATTACTATGACATTAAACCAACAAGACTAAAAATGCATTTTTGCCAATTTCTTCGGAATACATATTAAAAAGAAAAAAGGAAACAAAAAAGCCTATTGCACATTTCGAAAAATGATGATAGTGCAAAAATGTTTTTTTTATAATAATAATAATAATAATAATAATAATAATAATGTGACGGCATTATCAACGAAAAAGAACTAACTCGGAGACCCTCGAGCTCTTTAGCACGTTGCTGGAGGAGCTGTCTCTGTAGTGCTTGATTCTCCTCTAACATCCTTATTCTCCTCGATTGTATCTGAGACTGAACGTGCGATAATGTCTGCATGCATTTCAGAGTATTCGCCGTTTGGCGTGTGGCTGTGGGCCCATCAACCAGTGATTTCAGTCTGACGAGCCCTCTTAGAGCCCTCAATGCCCTCCGAGCCTGAGATTAGGAACAATAACAAAAAACTCCCTTGGTAAATAGTCAGTTTGTAACTTAATGAAGGACTCACCTCAACAACCAATGGGAACCGAAAACTAAAATTAGAAAGTAATTTTCATATGACAAGTTAGATTAAAATTAGGACGAGCAATCACTAGATTTTCTTACAATTTGTTCATCTAGGACGAGCAATCACTAGATTTTCTTACAAGTTGCATCCTATTTACCGAAACTTAGCAAGGCATCATTAGCACTAGCCTTTTTATTATAACTTGATTCAATCTGGAAACACAACTTTCATACTACATTATAAAAATATCATGGAAAACAGATATTGGTCACCATAAATTCGGAACATTTTGTGGATGATAATTATGAATAAACCATCCTGCACCATAAAAACAAACGAACTAAGAAATAAATGACAAATTATAATGCACCTTTCATCCCACTAAGACGGGCTTGGAGAAGATTCACACAGACTAAGAGATTAGAGAATATTTGATGTAGTAAATGTAATCGTGGTTACCAAATCTCTTTTTTTTTTTTTTTTTTNGTTACAGCAAAAAACGAGAAGGCTGAAAATAGCAATATAAACAAAGCGAATCAAACAGGGATAATTTAGGCCATTGCTGCATATCCAATACTCTCCCCGTTTACTTAAAATGATGGGAATGGACAGTTTAATCCCATAAACTTTACACGTCAGCTTGTGCCCAATTTTTACAAAACATGATGCATTTTAAGCCAAAAACAATCAAACGTTTACTAACCTAGATAAAATGACAGGATAAAAATCAAAATACGAGTGGCAGGAAAATATATTTATATGGCCTAAATTTGTAATTTGGTGGATGGTAAAAGAGACATTTCACATGACAATTTTTGGACAAAATGGTCATTTCTACGGTGGGATTAAAATGTCCCACCCTCAAGACCGACAAAATAATCCTGCCAATAGTGCATAAAAGTGTGGGACCCACAAAACACATCAGCTTATTATCCAATCCCATCATGGTTAGTAAACGTTGGATAATAGGAGTTATCCAACCATATCTATCGTAAAAAGAAAACAAACAAAGCCCAGAAAACAGAGTGACATACTAGGTAACCACGAAATGCCGTCTGGATCTTGATGGCGGCTATTTCTTCAGCTGATTTTCCAGCGAGCTGAGATGGCGCAACTGCCACCTCAGCCTCCACCGGTGTTTCAACTGCCACGTTATAAGCGTGTTTTGCCAGCTCATCATCCTCAATTTCTGCTAATTTCACATCCTCCAAAGGTGGAAAAGGGTGAGGATCAGAAATTTGAGCCGCTTCTTGCTTTGGAGGTTCGGTTACCTGCTGCTCTTCTTTTCCGAACCATTTTTTCTTCGATTTATTATCTTTCTGCAAATTAAAAATCAAAATTATAATAAAAGAAACTTAAAAAAAGGAGATTAAAGTAGGGAGTTTCAGTCACCTTTGCCTTTTTCTCTTTAGTATCTGGGCTGAGAGCTTTCTTTACTGAAGACAACCAGTTTCCTTTCCTACCCATTTTGCTAATTTTCCTCAATTGTCCTTCACTGAACTCCAAAAACAAAAAATAAAAAATGCCAAACGTATTTCAAGAATTCAAATCTTTGGAGCTACCCATCTGACAAAATTATGCTCACGAGTCACATATGTAAATATCCTGAGAAAACAACAAAGACAACTCAAAATCTTTCTGCAAAACTAAAGATCATATAAATAATCAATATCTTGCATTTCATCGTAGTTATAAGACTAATCAACGTAGATAAACAGGCTTCACTGATGACACTCTCAGGAGTTCAATCAACAAACACTATGAGCTGGAATTGAGAAAAAATAAGACTAGTTACTGGTTTGTACATTCAAAAACACCAAAATATATCAACTTTTAAATAAAAGTGAAAGGCAGCTAACCTGATACGGAGTTGTTAGATCGCAGTCAAATCACCATTTTCCTTCCAATTGAAGCTTTAGATCGTGAAAGTTACAAAACTTGAAAATCCGAAGGTATCAATTTTACTCTATAAGAACTATAGAAGATAATTTTAGAAGAAAAATCGAGTCTTGTGAGTTGTGAGTGGGGAGAGAGATGAGAGAGAGAATTCAGATCTCGGCCATGGATGAATTTCAACTTTCAAGTTTTCAACAGAAAGAAAGAGAACCAAAAGAAAAAAACTTCGAGTAATCGTAATTGCACAGCTGGCGTTGTGGGCCCACATTCTTTGAGCGGCCCATTTTTTTGGGCCCACCTGTTTAATATTCTTCACGTCCCAAATAAGAAACGATTTAATGACTTTTGAGGATGAAATTGAATAGGATAACCTTTTCACTAAATTCGACCTCCCAATTAGTAAAATGATTATGACTTTTATGTGTGGATGAGCATAATTTCTAGTTTTGTTGGCCTCTTTGTTGGCTTCTGAAGACTGAACTATGATCAAATTGTCAATATGGATAAAAGTGAGTTTGAATATGCTAAAAGTGGTAGTTGCATAATGGTAAGGTTGTTATATGTAGCTAATGTTTAGGCATAACTAATTGCTATGCAGTAACATTTTTCAATAAAGATACAATTTTTATATTGAATTATCATGCTTTTTAGAGAAATAATATAAACAATGTTGTGAAATTTTATAATATAAGCATAATATATTTGTTTTAAGAAAATATGATAAATCGACCAACCTAGTCGATAGACAGTCTGATCCACAAAATATTTGATTTTTTATTTTTATTTAACTAAGATCAAACAATCAGATGAAAATCAAGTTAGATATTACATAAAAAAAAAAGAAGGAAAAAAATAGGGAGATAAGCACTCGTAACATTGGATAATTGCGAATCAAACGCCCGTTATAGTTAAACAAATTAATCGAAAACCAAGTATAATAACATATTTTTCAAGAAGTATACATAGTTGTAGTAATACTTTGAAATACAATATAAACAACGAGATATTTTTCAATAATATGGATATATAAATTATAAAATATAACAATACATTATTTTTTAAATATAACAACTCAGCTAATTGTTAAAATGCCTAAAATACCATAATTTGTTATTACAGTATATTTTATACTTCAAACTTTTGTTAGGATGACTTAAGAGGGTGATTGGATATGATTTCAATTAGTTAATTGGGTTTTTTTAACTATAATTAATTTTAAAAAATTGTGTTATTGTTAGTTGTTACTTGTTAGTGGATATATTAAATAATATTTAAAATAAAATAACTAAAGTTTATTTGCTGTAAGAGTAGGAGAAAAATGATTGAAAGCGATGGTTAGTTAAAAAATTATGTGAATGAACGAATAATGAATTGGAGTTGATGTGATATGTAAGAATGATTGGTTGATATTATTTAATTATATTGATAATATTGAAAATAGCGGGGTTAAGTTAAATTTGAGTTTTAATTGATTTTTTTAATTAAATTGATAAACAATCACCCATGAGATTCCACGTTATTAAATACAAACTAGTTTTACCCCGTGTATTTGCACGAAAGACGATATAATAGAAGATAAAGTAAATTACAAATATAGATTAAATAAAATTCGTAACTTAAGAAATGAGAAAAGAAATAATTTAAAAAAGTGAATCTAAATATTATTAAGCACCTCTTTGTACAACATTCGTGGTTTTCCTATCGTCAGAAATGAGAAAGTAATAGTTTACCTATTGTTGTTCACCATATAATATTTAATTATTATTTTATTATATAATAAAAAAGAAATATTGTTAAATAGTGTAGTAGAATTGTTATAAAATTATATGATTTTTTTTACAATATGGATTTAATATTTTTTTATGATTTGATAATATAAACAAATCTATACTTAACTTTGACAAATAAAACAAATAAATACTTAAGTAAGTATTTAATGTATATACTAAATAGGAATATATTTGGTATAATCAAATACCAAATATAATCAAATAAGTCAAAGTGTACATTTTTATTTGGTCTTTGATTTTTTTATTATTACAATCTTTTTATTATACTTACCTTTTTAAAATAAAACAAATAAATAAATCAATTAAATAAATAAAATATTATAATACCAAAAATAGTAATGACATTTAATGTTGTTGACTTTTCTGGATAGTAAATGTACGTAAATAGAATTTCCTTTATATAAATATAGATTGTATAATACGGAAATAGTAATGCAATAAATATTATTGACTTTTCTTTATACTAAATCTGATAAATGGTATACCTTTTAATATAAGTATATAAAGATTAAACACCTCACCACTCACAAGAATATCACGGAACGTGTCATATCTTTCTATTATTTGATTTGGCATACCTCTCTAAATGTAATAATTATATAAATAAATTATGTGTATCCAGGTGGTTATGCGTCACACTCATCTAAATACCTTTTTTAGTAGATAATAACATATTTGTCGGTAGATGAGTTTGTTTATATTTCTAATCTTCTCCTTCAATACATCACTATTACGTTGTAGAAAATGATCTAAAATCTTTCACTCTGGAGAGAGCTTCTTTCAAATTTATTAATAGTAATCAATATTTGCACATTTTATTCTTGAATATACAATTTTTTTAACCAAAAAAATAACTTTAAAATTTTGAATACAGGCCATCAAAATTTATTCGTTCTTCTGCACCATATAATGTGCAGACTGACACTTCTCAGAAATTTGTATTCGTTACCAAATTCCGAATTTATTGGAGTGAGTTAACAGTTTAACTAAGACTATGTTTATCCTTGACCCTTTCATTAGNTTGGCTCGCGACCAGTTTTTATGTAGGAATGGGACATTTGTTCCATTTTTATTGGACAAGTATATTTTTTTGTTTCTAAAAAAATATATTAAAATTCGTATTTTTTCATTCTCTACAAATAGAGACTACATTTGATATATTTTATAACATAATTATAATTTTTTAATAAATTAAAATAAAATAAATATTTATGTTGAGTTGAGTTAGGAATAAAGATAAATTGGATTGAAAGATTGAATTATGTAGGTGGAAGAGAGAGAAATAATTTTTAATTATTAAGTTGTATTGGGTTGGGTTGAGTTGGAAATAAGGATGATGTAATTAATTTTTACGTCTAAAGTTATTGAAAATTTGCAATTGCGGCAAATCAAATACTTATTTATTTATGTCGTTTTCCTTTCTCGGATGCATAGTGTAGTGACATTAATAATAATTAATAAGCTATTAACTGTTTGATTCGGTAAAGCAATAGTTACAAACAAGTGCCATCAGTCAGTTTAGGAATATAGTGGTTAAAAAGTACAATTATTTGACGTTACAATAACTACATGTGGATGACATTAGTCCAAAAACTCAACCAAGTACAATAATTTTTGTTGTTGAATTAACATACTCATACGAGTATATGTTGATCCAAATATAAAATATACCATCACAAATTTTTTTATTATCATTGAATCAAAACATAATTTTTTTTTTGAAATTGCAGTTGTGTATAAGGTAAAAAATAATCAGGTAAGTGCAATATAATTCAATCATAATTGTATTTGTTTGAGATTTTTAAAAGCTTTTTAAACTTATTTGACACCGTTATTATTAGGACTTTTAAAGATTTGTAAGATTTTCAAAAGAATGGAGCCATCGGATGGTTCCCTTATGGAGTCATCCATAACTTTATGTATTGACACGTGTTCAATGTGTATTTATTGCAAGACACATGTCAATACGCCATTTGTGGATAACTATGTAAGAAATTTAATGGGTATATTCATAACAATTAGGCGGAATTGAATAAACCCTATAATTCTATCAATTCATAGAACATGGATCTTTTGCATAAATTAAATTGCACATAGAAACTTACAAGAATCCATTAGTCCTTCCCTGTTCTTGTATGTATGGCCGATCGTGGATTATGTTTCTCTCTCCCGCTTCTCTCGTCTTTTCACAAAGCCCTTGATGTTGAGAACTTTATTTGCGTATGAGATGGGAGAGAGGGGCATGTAGTATATATAGGAAGATGAGACTTACAATCCTAATCCCACTAACATTCTCCATGTTCTAACCTAACTTACTGTCCAAGTCAAACATCACAAATTGGACTCTTTAATATTAGAACATTAAATAATCTATTAAATACATATTCACCGTAATTAAGTTTGACTATTAATTCAATTAGGTCCAATTAATTTATATGGTCCACAATAATAGAATAATATATATAAAATATTATTACATTCTCCCACTTGGACCATATAAGTGTCGAAACCCAAAGAACTACTTTAAGCGCGCACCTTTCATCAAACTTATAATTGAATACATATATCTATAAGTTTAAAATTAAAATAGAAATTAACCGAGTCATGGCGGTCACAAGTCTTCGAGCGACATGATCCCTTCCATGTACCACAAATCATTTCTACTTCAACTTTACTTTAATATGGGACAAACCATTCGTACCATACTATAAGTCATCCAACATTTATGTACATACTTATAAAAAAAAACAAATATCTATAATGATGATGTCATATGTGAAGAACAAAATATCTATAATTGAATTCAATAAATGTCTGAATAATTTGAGCAACAAAAACTAGTATCAATACAACAAGGCCCCATGCGTTAACCCCATTTTTTCTACATGCCTTGCAAAGGCTATTGGGGCTAACCCTTTAGTTAATGGATCCGCTATCATGCAATCAGTACTAATGTGCTCAAATGACATATTTTGTTTCTTCACTTCTTCTTTTACGACCAAGTATTTCAACTCTATGTGTTTTGCACCCTTTGAGTACTTGTCGTTCTTTGAGAAAAATACTGCTGCGGAATTATCACAATAAATACTCAGCGGCTTGGACAAGATGTCGACATTTCCAAGTCCTGAGATAAAGTTCCGTAGCCATAAGCCCTGAATCGTGGCCTCAAAGCATGCCACAAACTCAGCCTCCATCGTGGAAGTCGCAATGATGGACTGTTTTCCACTTTTCCATGATACTGCTCCTCCAGCCATTAGGAACAAGTAGCCGAATGTTGATTTCCTACTATCCACACATCCAGCGTAGTCCGAATCCGAGAATCCGATCACTTCAAACGAATCGGATCTCCTATAAGTAAGCATGTGTTCTTTGGTGCCTTGTAAATACCTAAGAACTTTCTTCGCAGCCTTCCAATGATCAAGTCCGGGATTACTTTGGTATCTTCCCAGCATACCAACGGCAAAACTGATATCAGGCCTAGTACAGGTCTGTGCGTACATCAAACTCCCAACTAAAGAAGCATAAGGAATAATCTCCATCTCTTTTCGTTCCATTTCACTTTGCGGACATTGTTTAAGGCTAAACTTGTCCCCTTTCTGAATTGGAACCACTCCTGCAGAGCAACCATCCATTTTATATCTCTTCAAAACTTTCGAAATATAACTTTTCTGTGATAAACCTAAAAGTCCTTGTGATCTATTCCGGAATATTTCTATTCCAATAACAAAGGACGCTTCACCCATATCCTTCATTTCGAATTTTTTAGAGAGATAATGCTTTACTTCGTGCAACATGTCCACATTATTAGCAGCTATCAATATATCATCAACATACAAAACTAAAATAACGAACCTACTCCCACTGACCTTAATGTAGATACACCGATCCACGGTATTCTCTACAAAACCATAAGCAGTGATGATATCATTGAACTTGAGATACCATTGTCGAGAGGCTTGCTTTAGTCCATATATCGATCTATTCAACTTACACACTAGATTTTCCTTTCCTGTGATCTCAAAACCATCCGGTTGGTTCATATAAACTTCCTCTTCCAATTCTCCATTTAGGAAGGCAGTCTTTACGTCCATTTGATGAAGCTCCAAGTCATAATGAGCTACCATTGCCAATACAATTCTCAAGGAATCTTTCTTCGAAACCGGAGAAAATGTTTCCTTGTAGTCAATGCCTTCCTCTTGGGTGTATCCTTTAGCAACAAGTCTAGCTTTATATCTTTCGATATTACCTTTAGAGTCGCGTTTGGTTTTGAAAACCCATTTACACCCGACTCTTTTAGACCCTTCAGGTAATTCTACTAAATTCCAGACTTTATTGTCATCCATTGACTTTAATTCTTCTTTCATGGCATTGATCCACTTTTCAGAATTTACACTTTCCATGGCTTCTTTAAACGACGTTGGATCTAAATCCATGCTCAAGTCACATTCACTCTCAAGAGAATAAACCACATAGTCATCAGAGATAGCAGGTCGTTTTTCCCTTATCGACCGTCTCACTATCACTTCATTATGTGGATCATTGGAAACTTGTGATGCATCTACCACAGGTTGTTCTATAATCTCTTGATTGCTAGTGACCGGTTCATTATCAAATGAGTTTGGATCATTCTGTTGTTCATCTAAGTTGCGTGACGGTACTGCGACTAGAGGAATAACAACCGTTGATGGACTCTCGGGCTTGGACAATTCAACCCGAGTTTCATTAACATCCACACTTCGCGGTTCCAAACTCCCACTAATTTGATCATTTTCAATGAACCGAGCATTGCCGGAATCAACTATTCTCGTACTATGGTTAGGACAATAGAACCTATATCCTTTAGACTTTTCCGGATAGCCAATAAAAAAACCACTGACTGTCCTAGGATCAAGTTTCTTTTCATGTGGATTATATAACCTTACTTCTGCTTGACACCCCCAAACATGAAGATGCCTCAAACTAGGTTTCCTACCCGTCCACAGTTCATAAGGTGTCTTAGGAACTGCCTTACTAGGAACTCTGTTTAGCAAATATGCAGCAGTCTTTAATGCATGCATCCACATAGATGACGGTAATGTTGAATTACTCAACATACTCCTAACCATATCCATTAAAGTACGGTTTCTCCTCTCAGCAACACCGTTCTGTTGAGGAGTCCCAGGCATAGTGTATTGTGCACAAATGCCTCGACTCTCGAGAAACTTTGCAAATGGACCAGGACATTGTCCTCTTTCATTGAACCTACCATAATATTCACCCCCACGATCAGATCTCACAACTTTCACTTTTCTATCTAACTGCCTTTCCACCTCATCAATGTATATCTTTAGATATTCCAATGATTGAGTCTTTTCATGCAGTAGATAGATATAACCATAACGTGAGAAGTCATCTGTAAAGGTGATAAAATACTTTTCACCGCCCCATGAAGGAACGTCGAATGGACCACAAATATCAGTGTGAATAAGTTCTAAGAGTTGAGTGCTTCTAGTGGCTGATTTCTTTAATATATGCTTAGTTTGCTTTCCTTTAATGCATTCTACACATACATTTAGATCACTAAAATCCAAGTGAGGGATGATTTCATTTTTCACCATCCTTAATAACCTTTCTTTGGATATATGACCTAATCTTTGATGCCATAATAGAGCAGAATTTTCATTATATGCACTACGTTTGATCCCAAGAACACTTTGAACATTAAACAAGGATTCAGAAAATTCTTTATGCAATTCAAAACGGTAAAGCGAATCAATCAAATTTCCATTGCCACAAAATAATTTGTTCTTGTACAATGAAAAAGAAGCATTACCGAAATTAAAGAAATAACCTAAAAGATCCAATCTACTTAATGAAACAAGATTGCGAGCACATTCAGGTACATAAAGACATCTTTCAAGATCTATATTACAACCAGTGCTCAAGATCAATCTATACGTCCCTATGCCTTCTATTCGTGCCTTCATCCTGTTTCCCATGAATAAGTATTGCTCACTTTCCTTTATGATTTGGATCGAACTGAATCCCTGCAAAATATGGGATACATGAGTAGTTGCACCAGAATCAAGCCACCAAGTATTATTGGGAACTTCTAATAAATTTGATTCAAAGCATACAGAAACATAATGCATACCTTTCTTTTCGAACCAAGTTTTCCTTTTCGGGCAATCTTTCTTGAGATGGCCTAACTTTTTACAGAAAAAGCACCTCAACTCTTTAATGATTGGTCCTCCAGAAACTTTGAGTGGACCAACCTCCTTTCCTTTGCCTTTGTTTCCCATCTTCATCTTGCTCTTGCTGGCTCCCACATGAGATACAAAGTGAATCGACTCCTCTTTCACCTTCTTTATTCTCGCCTCTTCCTGCACAAGCATGGCCCTAATTTCTTTATAGTCCCACTTTTCTTTAATGGTGTTGTAGTTCACCTGGAACTGGCCAAACTCGGCAGGTAGGGAGTTCATGATGAATTGAACCAGAAATGAGTCGGTCACCTCCATTCCCATGTTTGATAGTTTAGCTGATATGTTGGACATGTGGGTTACGTGATCATGGATGGAGCGGGACCAGTCAAACTTTATAGTGGTGAGTTCGCCCATAAGCTTCCCCACAATTGACTTGTCCGCAATTTCAGATTGAGATAGTTCCTTAATCTTTCCTAGGAAGTCTTTCGCATTGTCAGCCTTTGGCATTGAAGCTTTAATGTTATCCGCCATGGTTAGTTTCATAAAATTCAAGCACAACCTATTTGATCGCTCCCAAGCCATACGAAGAGATACCTCTTCTTCGGAGCTTTCATCAGTAATGGTTGCGGGTACTTCATCACTAACTAGAGCCATATCCAAATTCATAGCACCTAACTGAAAATGGATGTGCTCAGACCATTCAGTGAAGTTCATTCCATTGAATTTTTCAACCATAATGCCTGACGGAAAGCCGGAATTAAGTGCTGCAAAATTTAATACATGCTATTAGATTATGCTTTGATAAAATTTTATGGATTCGGAAATATTTAAGATTATATATTTAAATAACCTTTGGGCAATACTTAAATATATAATGTATTTAATTGATGTCTAAGAGAAAATAATCTTTAATAGAAATTACAAGAATTGTGATCAACTAGTGGTTATCTTTGGACAAACACACTAATTAACCTAACTTTAATATAATTTCTCTTTTATTGTCATATATTACAAACCATGGCCCACCTTTGGGTGTCCTCCTAGTTTATAATATATAACATCAATCATTCAAATATTACAATATTAGGGTACATTAATAAGACATCGTCTTATATTTGAATAATTGATATTTTTATCTAATTTAATTATCTATTCCATAAATTAAACTAGGCCACTTTGGTGACTAACTAGTTTCTTACATAGATAATATAATTAGATAATATTTTATTTTAATTATATTTTATGAGATTATAAAAACTATAAAAATCTCTACCGTCCATATCAACTAAGAATAAGATGAACTAAAGTTATAGGACCAAAATATTCATCAGCCTTAATAATACACGATCAGTAAATAATCCATGCCTCGTATATTGAAAACACTTGCGACAATACTGAATGCTTAATATTTCACGATCATTAACGATATTAAAATAAAAAAGCAAATATGAAACACTTTCGACAATCATGATCATTAACAATATAAAGCCGCATATATGAAATCAAGAATCCATTAATCTGATTGTTGCTTACGGCACTATTATAATTCAGCATGGCAATATTATAACAAATTGAGTAAATAATTCCCAACCTTAATTGGCAAATAAACACTTACAGCAACTATGTAATCAATAATGGGAACATAAATATCAATTGATCAATTGAGAGTCAATAATGACGGCAGAAACAATTCGCAAGAATAAGAATCCATTCATATTCACTGTACACAATTGACAGAAGCAAAAAAAAACAAATTCGCCGCACGCAATTCCAATATTTTATATGGCAAAATAATATGCATAAACACATTCTCTGATACCACATGTAAGAAATTTAACGGGTATATTCATAACAATTAGGCGGAATTGAATAAACCCTAAACATGTAATTCTATCAATTCATAGAACATGGATCTTTTGCATAAATTAAATTGCACATAGAAACTTACAAGAATCCATTAGTCCTTCCCTGTTCTTGTATGTCTGGCCGATCGTGGATTATGTTTCTCTCTCCCGCTTCTCTCGTCTTTTCACAAAGCCCTTGATGTTGAGAACTTTATTTGCGTATGAGATGGGAGAGAGGGGCATGTAGTATATATAGGAAGATGAGACTTACAATCCTAATCCCACTAACATTCCCCATGTTCTAACCTAACTTACTGTCCAAGTCAAACATCACAAATTGGACTCTTTAATATTAGAACATTAAATAATCTATTAAATACATATTCACCGTAATTAAGTTTGACTATTAATTCAATTAGGTCCAATTAATTTATATGGTCCACAATAATAGAATAATATATATAAAATATTATTACAAACTATGGATGGCTCCATAAGCCGAGCCATCCGATGGCTCCATAGCAAAACTGGTACTTAAATTAACTTCTAATATGCTAAAAAATGAGTAGAAACTCCCTTATATTGAAGTCATTTAGCAAAAGCCATATCTAAAGGCTAAAGATTAAGGGGGTGATTGTTTATGAATTGAATAGTAAAAAAATCAATCAAAACTCAATTTTAACTCAACTTTAATTCAACCCCACTATCATCAATATTATCAACATAATAAATAATATCAACCAATTATTTTTACACATCACATCAACTTTAATTCACTATTCATCCACTCACATAACTCTAACTAACTATCACTTCCAATCATTTTTATCCTACTTTACATCAAATCAACTTTAATTATTATATTTAAATATTATTTTAATATATCCACTAACAACTAATCATACCATTTTTTTTCAAAATTAACTATAGTTCAAAACAAACCAAATAAAAACTAGTTCAATCCATAAACAATCACCCCCTAATGCTTCCCAACCAGAAAGCAAGATATTTATGACTAAAATAGTCCATCTGTAGTCTACCCATCTCATACTTGTATAATTGAATAAACGGATAATATCATTCATGGTTGCCGATAATGTGCTATGTAGGCTTGGAATCTCGTAACCTAAAAGGTAATTAAAAAATATAAAATAAAATAAAAATAAGCTTGTGAGACCCACTTTCCAACTCTGCTAAAAATGACATCACAACAAATTACAAAAAATAATATAATTTGCAGTAACTCCGAAAATTTTAACTGGCAAGGTACATTTACGAGCAACTCGTATCGTTTAATAACTTTGGCTCAAAATAACAATAATCACAGCTTGTTCGAGCCAAGATACATTCGCAAACATAAATCACAAAACTATACTTTGAAACAATTAAATTAGTAAACGGGTCGACTCATAATATTTAAATATCATATATATATATATATATAATTATATTATAAAATGTAACATTTTTGTTTTCGACATTACTATACTTTTTGAGAATTTGACATAGGTAAATGGAAGGACTGAGAGCTATGGTGATTTATACAAAGGGAGGATGGTAAAGGATAATGTAATGTTGGGCTTACATAACAAAGTTATCTCAACTCTTCGCTTAGAGTATCTCCAATGTAACTTTTGACATTATAAAAAGTCATCCATATCATCAACTTTTGAAAGTTGTCTCTATTTTTTTCTCCAATGCATCTTGTCATGAACTCGAGAGTTCATGATGAGGTGGATGTCATTTAATGTTGACAATGTTGAGTACACTTTCTAATATCTAACACCATGTTAAACATGATGACTCATCAATTTATTTTATATTTGTTTTAAATTTTTTTTTGTATCAATGAATTATTTAATTAGTCCACCTATACAATTAACTTCTTATCAAATTGATGCATTGGAGATATTAGTTTCATTGAAATTTTTAGTCTTTTAACATTATTCCAATGTGGATTAACATTACAATCACTAATTGACATGTGTTAAAAATAATAGTCTTTCACACTTATAGCTTTGGAGATGCTCTTAGTACTTGAGAGCTTAACAGTACCATTGTGCGAAGAAAAAGGAAAGTATAAACTGTATAATTTATGAATTTACACAAGTTAACCAATGAAAAAATGGCACCTGCTATTTGAGGGAAGTAAGCAGGAAAAGCATTGGAGAACTACACAAATCCCTTCAGAACTAAGAAATGATAATATATTAGCAAAACAGCATCAGAAGAACAGTGAATAGAAGTTATAGAACTAAACTATTAAGCACAGAAAAAAATTATAATGTAAGAAAATAGAGCACATAATGTTATTAATTTATTATAAAGAACAGACACTCATATTTCATGCATCAACTAAAATAAGAAGATATTTTTTTGATCACCTTATCTCAGAAGGGTGCATATAAAATGCAAAGTCAAGTAAATGCAAAAACCCGATCTGCGATCTTTGTTCGGCAAATTGGACACTCCATGCAGGCAAGGGAACATGTTTTACATACTGCAGCAATGAAACAACATAATATTATATCAGTTGTGCTCGAAAAATGAAGAAAAGCATTTCGTTCAGGAATATAACTACTTACAGCTAAAATGTCGACATGGCAGAAGCATTGCCGCTGTAGGTGATTCAAAGCACACTTTACACATGTGAGAATTTGTATCTATATTTCCAGTGTATCTATATTCTTTCTCCTTCATCTCCAGCATTCGAGCCTAAATGAATTCAAAACAATGAGATCATATGTTAAGACCTCAATAGCATTACTTTCTTCTTACTGATAAGGAAAACTAGACCAAATATAGAATTCAATAATAGAAGCAGAAAGTTGTTTAGAGTCAAAAGATGTGGTTCAAATAAGAATCAAGTCTTAGTGTAAGAGTTGTGAGAATGTTATTTTTAATTTTGCATAGAGCTAGTTTATTTGTGTTTGGTGCTGTTTTTAATTAGTGTTTATTTTGACAAAAAACAACACTATGTAGTAACATTTGCGTAAATGATAACACCATACGAAATTAAAAAATAGCATCATTAAAAATTGAAAATAGCATCAAATAAGGTTGTCGTGGTTCTCAAACCAATACTTTTTTTATTATAAACATACCCGAGTATAAAATATTCAGTATTTGCAAAATAAACCTCTAACGTGAATAAAAGTTACTGAACAAATGTTTACTAACCTTAACTTTAGTCAAAGTGTAAAACTAACATAGAAAAGGGTACCTTTACCCACACACCCTTAGATTCAAGTTAAATTATGCAAGAGCCAAAGGTGAAAGGAAAAAAGGAAAAGGAAAGGAAAAAAAGAGAGAAAGGAATAAGAATGTTTGGACACACTCCCTGAATAGATAAATTCGTTTAAAAGAACATAAACGAAATAAATAAGAATGCAAATTAAACCAAACAAAAGAAGCAATATAACTCACTTTGAGGCGCACAACAAGAGGTTCTTCTTTGGGAACAATAGGTACTGAACCCAGATTGTCTCGACTTGGACAAACTTCAACAACTGGATCCATGCAGTCCACGTCACCAATCTTCACATCACTCGCCAGGTCAGCATCTTCATTCACCTCACCATTATCCCTACATTCCTGCATAACAGTCACTTCTTTCTTTAACCGAGCAACGAGCACCCACATGTTCGCCAGGTCATTCTCCAAGGCTGCCTCCCTTTTCTTCGACTCCTCGAACTTGTTTTTGTACTCATCCTCCAAAGTCTCCTTCTCAGCTAAAGAAGCTTCTAGAACAACTTCCCTTTGTTTCATAGCTTGCAGCTCCATTTTCAGGTCATCAGACTCAAAGTCACTCGAGAGGTCATTTGCTCGGCCAGAAAGCCTATTTCGGTTATTTTTACGGTTTCGGTCAGCACTCTTGGAAGATCGAGAGCTCGACTCGCGAGCAGCCTGTAATTCTTTTTCTAATTTGGTGTTCTGAAAGGAAAGCTTGGTGACCTCAGCAGCTAAATTCTTTAGCGCGATGGCTGCTGCAGATGCTAATTCCTTGGCGTAAGAAGCTTCCTCAGAGAGCTTCTGATTCTGTACGTGTAATCCACTATTTTCCTCGACAAGCTGGACATGCTCCAGTTTGAGCTTCTCATTCTCGAGTTCCTATCAGTGCAGAAAAAGCTTTTTCAAGTAGGGTAAAGTATCAAACGTCAAAAGCTACAACTTGTTTGTGTTATCGGGGTACTAAGGGAGTGTTTGTATACAAATATATGTGCTCAAAATGAGTTTATTTTTTTGTTAACCAAGAGTTAATAGCAAAAGTTGATTTGGTGTAAAAGTAGGATATATGATGTGAAGTGACAATTAATTAAAATTATGTGAGTGGATGAATAATAAATTAAAGTTGATTTGATGTGTAAGAATGATTAGTTGATATTATTTAATTATATTGATAATGTTGAGGATAGTGGGATTGAGTTGAAGTTGAGTTAAATTTGAGTTTTGATTGGTTTTTATCGGTTAAGTTTAAACGAATTGAAATCATATGATGACAACAGAAATTATAACTGCATGCAATTTTTGCAACAAACAGTGAGGGTAAGCTCTGATATTACATATTTTGCAATAATGCAATTGAAAAAAATTAAATCAAGAATCCCTGTGAATAAGGATAAAAACAAGAACATACAAATATGTCAGATTATGTGCATCGCCATGTTATCCAGATGAAATGACTATAATTTTTAAATGTCATTACATAGCCCTGAAAACTTGAGAAAGACATTATTTCCTCATAATGAGCCATCACCGGAAGTTGAGTCGCAATAGCATTGCATATACGGAGTACTAAGTTATTAATTAAGGTTTCCCTCACGTATTGATATCTACTTCACAAAATTTAGCTATTCAAGGCTAAAAAAGTTTAACAATTAATTACCTGTGACTGAATCTTCTTTTGCAATTCCTCAGTAAATCCATCATTTACATGATTTTCAGGAGATGACTTGTTGTCACTACAAGAAGCTAGTTGTTGCTCCAGGCGGTTAATTTTCTCTTCCAATTCCTTATTTTCTGCACACTATTAGAAAAAAGAAGAATAACCACCTTATATGCATGGGAATAATAAAATACAAGGCGTTGTCCGAACCTGAGCACTGTTCTTTTTCTCTTGTTTGACAAACCAGGCAAAATTAGATTGATTTTTAATTGTATTTAAAAATAAAATAATTACAAGCTTACCTTATTTTGAAGCTGTTCTTGAAGCACACGATTATCCGCAGATTTAATCTAAGTAAATAGTAGAGTCAGTTTAATTAGCGGAAGGTAATGCTTAAAAATGACACAAATATGTGCCGAAAGTAGCAATGGAAAAAGAAGAGCAAAAAACCTCAAGCTCAAAGCCCTTCTCACTGCACTGTGCTTTCAGTTTCATGACTGTCTGTTGCAAGAAAAAAATACAATCAACAAATAAATGGGCTAATTTCAGATAAGAAACAGTGACAAATTCACTTTGAATTAGAAAACCTGCTGCAATTCCACTAAAGATGCATTAGCAACTGAAGCTTCACCCCCCTCAACCATACGCTGTTCTAAAGCTCTCATCTGCTTTCGTTTTTCTTGGATTTCACGCTCCAAGTTCTGTATCTGCACATTTGGATGTTATTATCTTTTTAAGTTCAACAACTTCTTAGCAGTAATTCCAGTAAGTTATGTGGCGCCTAGAAACAAAAACGAACTTCTAATTTTTCGTAGAACTACACCTACAGATTGCTCGTGGTTTATAACAAAAAAAACAAAAAAACAAAAAAACAAAAACAAAAAAAAAATTACGGTTACCTTCCATGAGACACAAAACTAGNAAAGGAACCCTTCGCATTTAGTAATAATAAGGGAGATCTGGAGGAAATTTTGTGATTTTTCAAACATGGGACACACAGCAGTGATCAGACGAACATCCAGTTTCGACTTATGGGATCATACAGAGTGCCAGCAGAAGCTATAGGGTGATTTAAGGTAAAAAGCTAGAGGCCATGAGCCAAAAAAGATTGTAATATATTAAAAGGAAATTTTTAGTTTACCTCCTCAGATTTTGAGCTTTCAGGATCATTCACAGACTGCTCTAGCAGGCGCTTTAGTGTGCTGGTACCAAATGCAATCTCACCAGAAAGCATCTTCACTTGCTCAACTAAGAGGTCCATATGATCTGAGATAGTAACCTCATCCTACAATTCAATGACAAAGTACCAAAAGAAGCTATTGATAATAATCAAAAGAACAAATTCCAAACATGAATTCAAAAGCTGAAATTGACATGTTAAAGATGTAATCAGCATTACATACTTCAGCTTCAAAAGAAAAAAGCAATCATAGCAAAAAATAAAGTGCTACAAGAAACTATTTGAAGAAAAGTATTATTTGGGAAACACTAAATCTGAACAAAAAGTCCAAGCTCTTGTTATACGAAGGATTCACATGGAGATATATGAAGATCTAAATCCATTTTCCTATATTAGGAACTTTAAGAGCTTCAATGTAGATGTCAGAAGATGGACATATGACGAAGTCCACATAATAATAGTAACATTAGGTTTTTCAGAAGAAAAGTATATAGAACATAATATAGGCAGTTTTGATTCACAGAAATAACCACTAAAAAGTTCACCTACTTGAGTTGTTTCAGTAATAGTACTGCCAGCTTGGGAAATACCATCATTCTGTTTGTTGTATGATCTTCTATGCTCAAAATGATAAGCATCTGATGCAATAGTTATAGCAGAAGAAGAATCGTTTTGATTATCGCCTTCATGTTTTAGAGAACCATCACGTAGAACATCCAATTTCTGTTGGGAAAAAGAAGATGAAAATTGTGAAGACCACACATCACGTTTTTCTTGCAGATCATTTTACAACATGCAGAAGGTCAAATATGTGCATTAATCACCTAACAGTGAGAGATATAGTTATAGCATACATATCTAGGAAGTTCAGAGATAAATTTACTTAACAAACATTTATACCAGAATCTCATGGATCAATACTTGAAAAATCATTATATCTGACGACTATGAAACTGTGATGCATATATTTTACCAGATTCATAAAGATAGAAGGGGTAATTTGCTGTCAATTTATATTAAATTGTGCAATGCATTGCATTGTGTAAAAGGCAAAATAAGCACGTGAAGTTTTCTAACCGAGCAAAGAAATTTAAGTCGACCAGAGCAATCGACTTACATCATCCTCAGAAGCAGAAAGACTCTTCTGGTGAGAGGGCATGTCATTTAAGCTTCCTGGTAATGTGTTTTTTGATGACACGAGTATTAATTTTGTAAGCCTCTGAATTCTGCTCATTAAAGCTGATTTAGCTTCTTCTTCCTCCTCCAATCTTGATTGCATTTTGACTTGCCCTTCTTCCAACTATATACAAAGGGGAAGCAGTCACCCAATAAACCAAGTTTTCATAATACAATGATGCAACAAGTTCATTATGAGTTGACAAAAAAGAAAAATGCATCAAAATCACATAGTTATACACCAAAAAGCTATCAATTGCCATGATTTATCAAATGGAGTTGAAGATACCTTCTGTCGCAAGACCATTATTTCTTCATGATTGACACCAACAAGCATTCCCCGTCTAAGTTGATCAAGTTCTTCTTTCAGTGATGATATTTCTCGTTGATACTTCTTTATCAATGATTTTTCATCAATTATCTGAACATTCAGATAGATTAAATTATCAGTGATCACCACACTTAATATGAATCAAACACAAAGCTCAACCCAGTCAAACTCACCCTATTACGTGAAGCATATATTTCGACACGCTTCGCCCTGCTGGCAAATTTTAATGTATTATGGGTTTCTTCCAAATTACTTGATGCTGGAGTGATCGTACATATAAGCTGGGTCAAATGTGTACTGCAATTTAGAAACCTTTAAAAAAAACACAAGGCTCACAAACTTTACTAGAGCATATCATACCATTAGTAGAATTCTAAACAAGCCATTGGTACCAAAGAAAAAAAAGAAAAAAATTAAACGTAGTGTAATAGTGAATGTCAACTAATACAACAATTAGGTCCTATGAAAAAGGAACACCAAAATCAACAACAATAAATAATAGTTTAATTTAAGATTCTAACATAAATAAATTGTAAGTAAAACTAATAAACTGATACTTACCGAAACATGCCCATGCCCACTAAGTGAAGATTGCAAAAGGCGAGTAAGCTTCGAGTCACGGTAAGGAACATGTGATGCTTTCCCTTCACTAAGTTTCCCAATCACCTTCATATTGAGGAAAACCAAATGTCGATGTAGAAAGACATAACAGTTGAAGGTGTAGAAAGACATAACAGTTGAAGGTAGAGAAAGACATTTCAGAGAAGACATCATGACACTGATTTGTGAGTAAGAATGTGCTTTTTCGAGTCAGTTTGCCACGTTATGTAACATGTTATGTAACATGTTACATGTAAAGTAAAATGGCACATTTTGCAAAGAAAAAGCATAACATGCAACGGAAGAAATAGATAAGGACAGATTAGAAACAAAGATGATTTCAAGGAAGTGCGTATACTCACAGTTCCAAGTGTAAGAAGACTTTTATTGATGTAGGATCCTTCCTTTCTTCTTAACCCAGTCGTTTCAGTTTTTGAGCTTTCCGATCCAGCTAAGTCGATCAGATTCTATAATAAATATTACAAAGAAAATTTATGTTGATTCGTTGAAGTTCAATTACGTTACGAGATAAGGACAAACACATTTATACATCTTAATGATAGAAGACAATATTTCAAATCGAGATGATAGATAATACACGTACCAACTGTGAGAATATAACCCCATCGTATTCATCCCCATGTGCACTACTTTCAATCATCTATACCAAATAAGATAAATTACAA